ACAGGAAGGAACAGGATTTCTCTTGTTTTAGAAAGATCTCACATCAGCTCTTTTTAAGGATGGGCTTCCTGCTCTTGCACAGAGTGCCTGGACTCCCAGCCTCTGCCTCCTGCATTTCAAAATTTGTCTTCAGAATCAGATTGGACTTTAAGATACATTTAAGAGTCCTTCTAGGATTCCCCTCCCAGATTCAGTCCTTCTTAACTTTGGCTGCACATTATATTCACCTAGGAAACTATTTTAAAATACAAATGCCTGGGATTTACCTCAAATTAATAATAATATATCCGAATCTCTGGGTGGTGAAGCCTTGGAGCAGTTGTTTTTAAGTTCTCCAGGTAATTTTCAACTCAGGTTGAAAACCACTATGCTAGTGCTCCACTCTGGCCCTTGTCAAAGAATCCATGTTTTCTTCCACTAGATTTCTGGAACTAGGGCAGAATTTTGCCAAGAACTAGTCCCGAGTCAGCCATGAATTTGCCAAGGGGTCTTAGACATCTCTCTGCGTCTCTGGTGGTTACCCGTCCACTGCAGTGGAGTCGATTCCAATTTCTAGTAACCCTCCATTGGGATTCCAAGGCTATAAATCTTTAAGGAAGAAGACTGCCCATCCCTTTCCGTTTGAGCACTTGGTATATTTGAATCATCAGTCTCTCACTTAACCAGCTTGATTCTTGACACTGTACCACCAAGACTCTGTCTGTAGAGGTAGGAGATGGATTCTATTAGTGAGTCTGACCCTCATGGAAGGAACTTGGGTGGCCTAATGGATGGTTGTGCTGCCAACTCAAGGCCAGGTTTTTCGAATCCATCAGTTGCTCTGTGGGAGAAAGAGGAGAAATCTCCTCCCATCCTATTAACAGTCTCTGAAAGCTCGCCACAGCAATGAGAGCCTTCAGGGATGGGCTGGGAGAAGTGGAAGCTTTGGGAGGGCATTTATCCAGATCACTCCAGGAGCATGCTCAAAATTATCCTTGAAAAGTCACAAGCAACATAAGTGTGGTTTCATTTGACAACCACATCCCTCTGGGGGGGAAAGTGCATTTAATTGAATAAAGTTTTAAAACAATGGAAAACTTCAGTAGCGATTGTTGTGAAACTTCTTTGCCTGAATCCTTATATGTCAGAAAGCAAATAAGAATTGCATATAATGGATTTCCAAACATTCACTTGCTTTCATAATGGATTGGGATTTGCGGTGCCCGGGTGTTCTCCAAGCTGTCTGGCGTTGTGGAGTACCTTAGTGCTGAGGTCTTAATCCCTTTTCTTGTGACGGTGACTCTACCCTACCCAGTGTTGGTATTCTCCCAGTCCTTGTAGTTTTGTTTTTTTTTAAGTTATTTTATTATGCAGTGTTTTAAATAGTAAAATAAAGGGAACAGCAGTAACATGCTGGTAAAATTTTAACAGCCAGTCCTTGGGTAAAAATAGCTCTGCATTATAGTGTTTGTCAGTTTGCACAGTGTAAGTACTCCCACCACTGTTGCTATCAAGCTAATAATACGAAGTCACCAGACTCAGAACTGATAGGAGAAAAAGATAACAGACAGGGGAAGGTGAAGGGTCAGAGAGAGAAGAAGAGACTCAATAAGATGGAGCTTGTGCATGTCAGAGATTGTGAGGATGGTGCAGGAAACCTACGGTCACTGTGAGTGGTAGTTTACTCAGTGGCTCCTAACAACAACAACATACACACACTATTGGCTGTCTTGATGATGTAACATATTTCCATGTATCTATCACCAAATTTCAGCAATTATCTGCCATCGTTCATTGTTTGATTTTTTTTTATGCTCACTTATTAACCCTTGCCCCCAAATTATTTAGACATAAATGAGGGCTTGTCATTTCGTCATTACTTTTATTTGTATTTAAAGGACAAAAATTCCTCTCTAAAATGCACTCACAGTACCATTATCATATCTAAAAATGACATTATTTCTTAGTAATATCGGGTATCCAATCAGAATTAAAATTTACCTGATTTTGAAACAAAATTGAAAAATTCATATGGTACTAGTAAGCTGTGCTTCCTAATTCTCATAGGCAGTACATGTTCCTTCTCTCTCTCTCTCTCTCTTTGCTTTGCAGTTTTTTTTTTTAAGAAGAAAGCGTGTTTTGTTCTGTCAGATGTCCTTAATGTGGATTTAGCCTCTTCATGATGTCACTAAACATGTTCTTAAAGCTTCTGTATTTTTTTTACCTTAGTGCTTAGATTTAGAAGTTTTATTATAATGAGATAAGGAGGATAGAAGGAGAATTGATGCCTTTGAGCTGTGGTGCTGGAGAAGAGTATTGAGAATACCATGGACTGCTAGGAAAACAAACAGATTTGTCCTGGAAAGGGTTAAACCGGGTGGCTCCTTGGAGGCAAGGATTCTGAGGCTCTGTCTAACATACTTTGGACATGTTGTGAGGAGAAGACCGGTCCTTAGAGAGGGACATCATGCTTGGGAGGGTGGAGGGACGGCGCAGGAGAGGAAGGCCCTCTATGAGGTGGATTGATTCAGTGACTGGGATAATTGGGATGGGAGTGTCAGAGACAGTGCGACTGGCACAGGACAGAGCGGAGTTTAGGGCTGTTGTACATAGGGTCGCTCTGAGTCGCAGGCGACTGGACAGCACATAACAACAACAACAATAATGAGATTGCTATTATTGTTACTGTTTCTCAAGGCTACATCATGCGTGGTGGTGTGCATTTCCAGCTAGGAGTGGGTACATAATATCTAGACTTGTCCTCTTCTCATATTATCATCCATGGATGAACCTAAAAGAATGACTTCCAATCCTGTTATTTCTTCATTTATTAACTGAAATACTATCAAGATTGGCTCAGTGGGTTAGAACTGCTAACCTTTTGGTTGGCAGCCAGGCATTTAGCTAGTTTGCCACTGGAACGCCTTTGTTACCTCAAACATTTGAAAAACATTGTAGTTCCCATTCCTCACTTGGACAAATGATAGATACCTTGTTTCCCCCAGCCCCCTCTTGTTCTTTCAGTCTCTCTGTTCTGTGTACTTCATATATTCTGGGAGTACTCACTCCATGGTAGTAACTAGAGATGCTTTCCACTTTCCTGCCATCCTTATTGCTGCAAAGTACTTCACTCCCTGAATGTACTGTAGTGTTTTCTGCCAGTGCCCTATTGATGAATTCCTGGGTTGCTTCCAGCCCTTTGTTAACTGCAAACGGGACTGCAGCAAAGTCTTGTGCATACGTCTGTTTGTATTCTTGCCCGTTCATCTTTGGGAAGGATTCCCAGAAGTGAGCTTACTGAGTCAAAGGGTGGATGCATTTAAAATTTTGCTAAATATTGCCAAGTCTGCCTCCATAAGGGCTTGTACAATGTTTTGCCAGCAAATACATAAGCTTTCTTAATTCCCTTGTCACCTCACTGATATTGTATGTTGTCAGATGTTGGGGGTTTTGCCTATCTGGAATATAGTATCTGTGTGTGCTTTTGATTTGCATTTCTCTAAGTGACTACCACAGTATGCTTGAGCACATCTGAGATGCTAGGATGGTTCAGGATACAGTTGGCCCTGTGTGTCATAGGCAACTCGGAAGGCATATCACAACAGTAAGAAGTACATTCTAAGTGGGTGGAGCATTTTCAAATAAATGGTTTATAGCCACTTGCATTTTCTTTTCTAGTGAACTGTTTTTCCTCTTTCCAGCCTGTTTTTCTATAGGTTTGTTGGCCTTTTTATTGTCAGTTTTGTGAAGCTCTTTGTGTATTTAGAATCCGAACCAATGTTGTAAGTTACAAGTATTTCCCCCCTAATTTGTCATTTATCTTTTTACTTTTCTCTGATTTTTTGGGGAAAGTTTCTTACATATAGTCAAATATATGGCTAACCCCCCCCCCCCCTTATTACTTTTGGATCTTTCTAGTCTGATTAGAGAGCTCTGGTGGCCTAGTGAGTAAGGAGTTGTGCTGTGAATTTAAAGGCAGGTGGTTTGGATCCATCACCTACTCTGTGGGAGAAAGACGGGCAGTCTTCTCCTATCAGCTTCACATTCTCTGAAAACCCACTGGAGGGTCAGCTGTGTGTTAGTTCCAACTTGATAGTAATGAGTTGTTGAATTGATATGTGAATATTGTTATAGCCTTATTTTGCTGTATGAAAACACTCACATTTCAGTTATTTCTGATTAGTCCTCAGATCCCGTCTAAGCCTTTTGTGTAATGGTGATTCGTTGTACTCATATCCATTTGGTTAACAGTATTCCTTCTGAATGAAAGTTCCCACTGGAATGTCAGTTTGATGAGGACAGAATTTCCGAAGAACAGACTGTGAGCTGATTTGCAAGCAGAGGTTTATGTAGTGTCCCCTGGGGGGTGACATCACTTGGGAATGAGTCAAAGAGGAAGGGGAGCAGCCATAGGGTCACTCCAGCACAAGATGGTACTTACTGATCAGTCTTGGATGCGGGCTGCCTGCGAGGAGGGCAGTGACCATAGCTAAGGTTGCTGTCCTCAGCCATGGGCCATCACAGGGGAGAGGGACTCAGCTGAGAGCTTGTTGCTGAGGGAGTGAGTCCCTCAGTCATGTTTGAGTGGAGCTCATAGAATCCTTCATGGATTCCTGCCTTGTTCCCAACCTAACTTTGGCCTCCACATAGTGAGTGCTCAGAAAATACTTGATGAATGAATAAGGCAGACAACAAGCTGACCTACAGCTCTCTAGGTCTTCTTGGCCCAGGCCACCTGGGTCGCAGATTAGGGGTGGGATGGGGAGGGAAGAGAGGAACTCAGGGCAGGTGTGTTCAGAATCGACTCCTCAGGGTCCTCTGGGCTGTTCCCTGGTTGCAGTGCTGGGCAGTGCTGTTGAGAGCCCTTCTACCTCGGCAGTTGGTGCTGGTCAAGCTTGGTCAAGGGGTAGAGTGAGGAGTAGGATCCTCAGTGTCACCTCTGTTGCTTTGCTGTTCGGATGTTGTGTTTTCCTTGCAAGTTTTCACTTCTGAATTTATTACTATTAATTTTCTTCCCCTAGCATTCCTTGAAGAAAAGAGGAACTCGCTCCTTGGGGAAGACTGACAAGAAGCCTTCAGTGCAGGTACTTCCCAGTACCCTGTAGACCCCCTGGCAGCCCCCACAGGCAGGTTTTTGTCTGAAAGGCCCAACTCCAAGTGTCCCAGTGAGTCTTCAGAGCTGTCACCCCCTCAGCCTACTTGCCTCTCTGCCTTTTCCCCAGAGCCACCCTCAGCCCGCAGTCTCCTCCAGAAAGCATAGTGATAAATAAGTCCAGAGGTTTGGTATCAGAGAGGCAGGTTATAATATTGTCTCTGCCATTTGGTTGCCACATGATTGAGGAAAGCCATTTTCTGGCCTCAGTTTACATACCTGTCAAAGTGGCCATGATCCCTGACTATCTGATGGGCTTGTTATGAGCAAAGATAAAGAGCAAAGGCCTACCATGGAGTAATATTAGCTTCTATCAGTACTGATAAGAATAACTAAACCCGACATATTGGGAGCTCATTTAGTGCCCATTTTATAGATGAGAAAACTATAGTAGTAATCTTAGGAACAGCCATTTCCCTTCAAACTGGTCGAAGGTCACCTGTGCCAGGGAACTCGTTGGGATGTGCCACTTCCCCTAGACTGTGCATCCTTATTGCAATATCTCCTTTCCCTGTAGACCCCTAGATCCTTGGTGGCCAGAGCTGCACGTAGTTCATACCTGTGTCCCCAGCACATGATGCATTGTGACTGGTGCAGAGCCTCCCACCACTAACCACACTGGATCTTGTCTGTCCCTGTCTCCAATGGGCCCCAGGAGGACAGTGCAGACCTGAAGTGCCAGCTGCACTTTGCAAAGGAAGAGTCGGCCCTCATGTGCAAGAAGCTCACAAAGCTGGCCAAGGAGAACGACAGCATGAAAGAAGAGCTGCTCAAATACCGCTCGCTCTACGGTGACCTGGACGCTGCCCTGTCGGCGGAGGAGCTGGCCGATGCCCCCCACTCCCGAGAGACCGAGCTGAAGGTGCACCTGAAGCTGGTGGAGGAGGAGGCCAACCTGCTGAGCCGCCGCATCGTGGAGCTGGAGGTGGAGAACCGAGGGCTGCGTGCTGAGATGGACGACATGAAGGACCACGGCAGTGGGTGCACCGGCCCTGAGGCCCGCCTGGCCTTTTCTGCGCTGGGCACGGGAGAGTGCGGGGAGAGCCTGGCCGAGCTGCGACGTCACCTGCAGTTTGTGGAGGAGGAGGCCGAGCTGCTGCGACGCTCATCAGCTGAGCTCGAGGACCAGAACAAGCTGCTGCTAAGCGAGCTGGCCAAGTACCGTGCTGAGCACGAGCTGGACGTGACACTGTCCGAGGACAGTTGCTCCGTGCTCAGCGAGCCCTCGCAGGAGGAGCTGGCCGCCGCCAAGCTGCAGATCGGCGAGCTCAGTGGCAAAGTCAAGAAGCTGCAGTACGAGAACCGCGTGCTGCTGTCCAACCTGCAGCGCTGTGACCTGGCTTCCTGCCAGAGCACACTGCCCATGCTGGAGACGGACGCTGAGGCTGGGGACTCGGCCCAGTGCGTGCCCGCACCCCTGGGCGAGGCTCACGAGCCCCACACAGCGCGGCTCTGCAGAGCCAGGGAGGCTGAGGCGCTCCCAGGGCTGCGGGAGCAGGCCGCCCTGGTCAGCAAGGCCATCGATGTCCTGGTGGCCGATGCCAATGGCTTCTCGGCTGGCCTCCGGCTGTGTCTGGACAATGAATGTGCTGACTTTCGGCTGCATGAGGCCCCCGACAACAGCGAGGGTCCCCGGGACACCAAGCTCATCCATGCCATCCTGGTGCGGCTGAGTATGCTGCAGCAGGAGCTGAATGCCTTCACGCGCAAGGCAGACACAGTCCTGGGCAGCTCCGGAAAGGAAGAGCCTTTCTCATCCCTGCCCGCCCTGGGCTCCCAGGGCTCCTCCAAGGAGATTCTTCTGGCCAAAGACCTCAGCTCTGACTTCCCGGTAAGAAGGCCCAGTCTCAGGCCCTGGTTACTCTTTGTTAAGTCAGTTGGTTATTGCTATATAAATGTGTCCAGAGGAGTGCTCGACTCACAAGTGTGCCCGTTAGCAAATTTTTCTAAGATGAATGCACTTGTGTAATCATCACATAGAACAGAAAATAGACGTTGACTGCAGAAATCCCTTTCCAACCCCTTCTAGTCATCAACCCTGCTCGCAGGGATAACCCACTTTGGTTTAGTTTATTTGCTTTTTGCATTTCACACTGTACAAATTTTGTCACTAGCATTATGTTAGTCTTTGCATGTAGCAATAGTTTGTACATTCTCCATGTTGGATATGATCTTACAGAACAGGTATTCCCTTATTCCCTAGTTCACTACCATTGATAGTTAGGTTCTGTAGTCTGTAGGGAGTTGCACTGTTAGTCCAAAGGTTGGGCCTCTCTGGCAGTTCAAATCCCCTAGTCACTCTACAAGAGAAAGATGGGTGGTCTCTTCCCTTGTGATTTACAGCCTCAGAAACCCAGTAGAGGGTCAGCTGTGAGTCAGTTCTGACTCCACAGCTATTAAAGAAATAGATTGTTGTAGGGGTTGATCCTGAGGTCCTCTTTCTTACCAGGTTGCCCTTTCTTCTTAAATGTTTTCAAGTGAGTGTTATTTTTTTAAAAAAATGTGAGTTTTGGTCAGACCTTATGAAAAAGCAGGAAACTCACATCTCTAAAGGTAAATGAACTAGGACAAATGGAAAAGGGGAAGCCAGGGAGGAAGTGGGAAGAAAGCTGTTGCGTTGAGGGAATTGCAACTACCAGAACAAAACCAAGTGTAAGTTGTTGAATGGACAATGAATTGGTTCAGTAAACTTTCATCCAAACCTCTCTAAAATGAAAAATAACAATTAAGATAGCAAATTAAAGAATTAATTTCTAACCTTGATGCCTATAAAATATAATTTAGAAAAATTAAAATGGTAAGTGCACTGATTTTTTTAAAAAAAGACATGACTTTTAAAACCCCCCAGAAAGAACACAAACCTTCAGAGTTTTAGTAGTTCCTGGTATGAGAAGATTGACATCTTCTCCCATTGTTCCCACTGCCTAAAGGTTCCACTGTGAACAGTTTGTTTAATGTGGTAGGTGCTAGTCTCATGTGGCTACTTATGTCAATAAAAATGAAATACAATTAAAAATTCAGTTCCTTCTTGCAGTATATTTCAAGTACTTTTTGGCAACATGTGGCTTCCATATTGGACAGCCCAGGTACAGAGCATTTTTCTTACGACAGTGTGGTCCTCTCTTTCTCCATCTATATATGTTGTTATTGTTACATGCCATCAAGTGACATATATATTGTTTTATGTTATCTAGTGACACGTGTCACCAATTCCTAGCTGTTGGCTATGAGCTCCAGCGAGTGTTTAGAGGCTGTAAATCACACAGGAGGAGACTGCCCATCCTGGGGAGCTGCTGATGACTTTGAACTGCATACATTTGGGTTGGCAGCGCAACCCCTTAACTCTTGGCCACCGGGAGTCCATGTCTACATATACATTTATATATTTATTGGGTTTCCCCCCTCCAAATAGCTTTATGCTTTACTTATTATTATTATTGTTGTTATTCATTATTATTATTATTATTATTATTATTACAGAACTTACTTTCTTATGTAAAGTATTTCACTGTTCATTTATTTATTACATTGTATTTGTTGTTAGAAAATTTTTGTGCTTGATGTGGATGGTATCATTGTAAGCCAGATATTCCTACCACCATGGCTCTTGCTGTTAAGTGATAAAGAGAATTAATCATAATATCACATATCATGCCCATGAGTGTTAAATTACAAACTGAGATAAGCATGATCTTACGCGTAAGGAATTTCACTTGGACCCTGGGGTCATGGAGGACCTCTGATCCAAGTTGAGATGAGAGAGAGAGATTACTAAAGGCATGGTGTTCTAAGCAGAAGGAACAGCCCATGTAAAGATATCATGTCTCAAGGGAGCATGACAGAGCCACGGAAATAAAAGGACTGGTCTGCAGAGCGATTTGATCTTCATCCCGCGAGCAAAGTCAGGGTCTTTCCACATCTGTACAAAGACTTATCTCCTTTTTAACACCTGCATACTCTGGCTGTGCCATCGTTTCTTTAATCCATGCTCTGGTCAGTTAGCTTGATCTTTTATAATCAAAGAGAGGGCCCAATTCTGGCTCCCCTCTTGACTTTTCCTGGTAGAAGGGTGAGCTGGAGCCATACACATGTTGTTGTTATTGTTGTTGTTAAGTGCTGTCAAGTTGAGCACGACTCATAGCAACACTATGAACAAAGGACCTGAACCCTGTTCTATAACTATCATCATTTCTCTAAGTTCATAGAATTTCCAGAGGCATGTTGTTTAGGGAGTGGATGCCACTCCTGCTTCCAAGCTTGTTTTAATCAGGGAGCTCCACGAAACTCTGTCCACCATGGGTAACCATTAAGGCATTTGACACACCAGTGGCACAGCATTCAGTATCACAGCAGTCTCAAATTACCTCAGTATAGCAAATCGACAGACCAGTGCTGTAGCACTTAGAAAAATGTTTGCCCCAAACACAATTAACACGAGGCCCAAGAACCCAACTGACTTTTAAATACAAGGACCCCATGACTAGGTCCTGATTGACTCCTAAGTAAGAGGCTTCCAGTCCACAGCTCATTGTTAGCTAAATCCAGCAAATCCTGTCAGCTCATACACAATTGTGAACGAAATGAAATACAACCAAACAGCCTACACCCGACCCTCAACCAAAACAAGAGAGCCCATCATCCAGAATCCAACTGCTTCACATATGAGCCTCCAAACTGGAGACTTAGTCCGGCCCCAACCAACTAAGTAGTAGAAAAATTAGAGCTGATTTAGAGTATCTGTACAAAAGACATATATTTGCAGAATTGATGTTTTCATCTGACCACTTATCCAGTCATTCATCCTTTCAACATTCACTGAGTGATTAGAGTACGTGCAACTGGGGTTGGATCTGAACTGCAGAGATCACACTTCTGAGTCCTAGATCTCAGGTGACAATCAAAGCCTCCTGGGGGAGTCCAGAGGTCTTGGGCAGGAGCACGTTTCTCATATCCCTTGGGCATCTCTTCATAATTATCTTTGATTTTTTTTTCTGCTTGTTTGTGCCTCTGGGTACAGCCACCTGACTTCAGGGACTTGCCAGAATGGGAACCCAGAATCCGAGAGGCCTTCCGTGCTGGTGACTTGGACTCCAAGCCTGACCCTAGCCGGAGCTTCAGACCTTACCGAGCTGAAGACAATGATTCCTACGCTTCTGAGGTGGGCTAGGCCTGAGCCAGCAGGGGTGTTGGGTTAGGACTGCATTAGCTTTGAAAAGCAAATATGCTATATGGAGGATTTTAGCTGGTTGTGATCTTAGTTTTGAGAATTCAGTTTGATTCCAAGTTTTCTGGCAGCCAAGGCAAGAAGAGAAACAAATTTAGGTCATCGTTATGACTTGATCAAAGGAAGCTTACAAACTTATGTGAAGAAATTGAGTATTTTTCTTTCTACACTAAAATGACACTGGGACTTTTATAATTTGTGTCATTTAATGGAAAATATTTTTGCAGCAGAGGCCACAGTACATATCAGTCAGGCTATCTGGTTTCATTTGTGGATCTACCATTTACTGACTCTGAAATCATGGATAAACCATTTGCCCCTCCTGCTCCTCACTTTTCTCACCTGTAAAATGAAAGTGATCATCCTGGCTGTTGACAGGATTAAGTACACACAAAGCCTCAGCTTAAGAGCTGGTCTGTGTGAAGTCAAGTTGAAGGTGATGATGCTGACATAACACAGGACGTGGAGAACCTAGGTTCCAGTTTCAATTTTATTAACCTGTGTGACTTTGAGCTTGTTCCTGCTCTCTGGATGCAGCTTCTCCATTTGTACTGTAGAAGTTTGACATGGTTGATGACTGTCCAATCAGTCATTAGACGTCTCTGGTCCTTGAGGAATGCTGAGTGGTTCTGAGCCCTTCACAAGCCCAATGTGGCCCTCTTCAACCCTTCATCATGAAGAGGCTCTGGTGGGCTGGTTGGACCTCCCTGAGACTTCTGAACCATAGGGAGCTCTGTGTGTCTCATGGTCTAGGGACTCTTCTAAACATCCCTGGGAAGGTCACTTGGGTCTCCCGGGAAGTTCCAGCCTGCAATTCACTGTCCAGAGATAGAAGTTCCCTTGAAACTGGTGAATCAGACTCTAAGTGAAGTACTCAGAGCTCCTGAGCTCCCTAGAAGTTTGGAACAGGAGAAATCATAAGATACTTAGTTCTCATGTCCTGAGACAAGAATCCTCTTTATACATTCAGTTATTATTTCCGTTCAGCCATTCTTTAATGAACACTTGGTATTTGCTGAGCACTCTGTTAGGTATCAAGTTCAAGGAGATTACATGATATGGCAGATAGTACTCAGCTCTGCAAAGATTTTGAATACAAAACCATATTCAAGTGATAGCTCAAGTCAGTGTCAACTTAGATTGCCATATTATCACCTGATGAACCACATAAGTGTTTAGGAGCCCTTATAGCACTTATAGCACAATTGTTAAGCATTTAGCTGCTAACTGAAAGGTTGGTAGTTTGAACTCATCCGGTGGTTCTGTGGAAGAAAGACCTGGTGATCTACTTCCCCCGAGATCACAGCCAGAAATCCCTTTAGGGCAGTTCTCCTCTGTCACAAGGGGTCGCTATGAATCAGAACTGATTTGGTGATAACTTGCAACAAATATTTCTTTTCTTTCATGGAGGCAAATCTTGCCACACCTAGGAACATTTGAAAGGAATGGGGGCTGATGTTTCTGTTCTTTTTCCTGGTTTAATATGACAGTATACATGTTTCCCATGGTTATCAAAAAGACGTTTTAGAACATTCTTAGGAAGTAGATAGCATACATACAGAAAAGAATTCCTTTTTTTTTTTAAAGTGGACAGCTCAAAAAAAAGAAAAAAAAAGAAAGTGGACAGTTCAGTTGCGAATATAGTTTCCACACAGTGAATATTCTTAGGTAATCACACTCAGATCAATGGACAGAAAGACCTGCTCCTCCCCCAGAACTTCCCTTGTGTCCCCTTATAGTCACCTTCTTAGCTTCTGACGGAAGAGCTTCACCTGATTTAGCTACAGATTTCTTTTAAACACTATTTCTCCAGAAAAAGATTAATGTTTCATTGCTTTACCTTAAACACTTTTACTACATAATTGTTAAAAACAGTTACAACACAACCCTTGGGCCCTGAGCAACATTGCCGGAAGGTAGATAGGATAGGAGGAAGATGAGATCATCACATAATTAACCACTCTGTGTGTTTGTGTGTGTGTGTGTGTGTGTGGTGTGTGTGTGTGTGTACGTGTGTCTGTGTGTTTTCCTGGTACAGTCATAGACAACAGATAGAAGTGGGATCAGCCCTAAATTTGTATAATGTCATTGAAACAAAAAGAGGAAAATTATAGCTTGATACCTTGCTAGAAACATAATCCTCTTAGAACACAAGCGCATATTTCATAGTTACCGTATCTCTTCACTGGCAGAGTCAGAAACAACAGTGCCCTCCTCAAAGATGGCCTCAAGTCATGCCTCTGTGAATGCATGTTGCTTTCCACAATCTTGGTAGTAATCTAATCTGCCTGAGGCTTCTAAAATGACTCACTCTGCCTCTTCAAGTCTCTCATTCCAGTGCTCTGACTTGTCATTTTTCCCATCCTAATTATCTCTCCACTTCACCCAACTCTGTTAAAAAAACTCGAGTCTATTCTAGTTTTAACTAAAATCAGTCATGACTGAATCAGTTCAAACTGGTTTAAAGCCACAGTCTTTTATACATCTGTTTTCTTCTGCATTTTATTGACGTATAATATTAGATTACATAAAATAAGTCACACCATTCTTAAGTATATAGTTGAATGGATTTTGTTGCATCATATAGACCCATTAAACTCATCATTATCTCTATAATTTATTTGCTATCTAAGTTGTTCCTAATTTTTTTTTTCAATTATAACATAATGAATTATAGAACAATAGAATAGTGAACATCTTTGTTGGTTAAACTTAATTTTCACACTATAGTTTTCCCTTTAAATGAACTTCAGAGTGAAATTATTGCATTAAGATTACAGTATTAGCTAGTTTTTGGATGTGTATTGTTTAATTCTATTGCCATGACACTCTGAGCTGTCATGTGACTGAGTAGGGGTAGCCTCTATACTTGAAGGGCAGTGTGACTGACTGAGAGGTTCTCAGGTCCTACTCTCTGCCCTCACCTGCCTACCACTCTCATCCTTTGCCCACAGCTTTTGCCTTCTTCCTTTCTTTTCCCCTCCTCATCTGTGTCTCCCATCCCTATCTCAGATCAAGGAGCTGCAGTTGGTGCTGGCCGAGGCCCATGACAGCCTCCGGGGTCTGCAAGAGCAGCTCTCCCAGGAGCGGCAGCTGCGAAAGGAGGAGGCTGACAACTTCAATCAGAAAATGGTCCAGGTGGGTGGTACCCAGTGCCCCTTCCCCACATCTGCTCCAACTCCTCCTCCTTGACCTGAGGCAGCAGCCTTGAGGGGCCACAGTTCTTCCAAAGGTGAGACTGCCAAGGGAAACCCATGGCTTCCAGCCCGCTTGCCTTGCTGGGCAAGGGTATTAACCATATTTAGGATATAACATTAGCTGTATTGGGCTGGTTATTGTCTGCCTGTGTGACCTGAGTTCAGTCTTGTCTTTTCTCTGAGCTTCAGTTTCCCAGAAATGGGAGAGTATATGCAAAATAGTGTCTAATAGCATCTTTACTGGTTCCCCACAAGAACTGAAAGCCTATAATAGGAAGGTCCTAGGCTTGACAGGCAATCATGACAAAACCTTGGTCATATCAAATCCATTGCTGTTGAGCCAATTCTGATTCATTGTGGCTCTGTAGGACCAAGTAGAACCACCTCCATAAACTTTCCAAGTGTCATCTCTATGGGAGTTGACTGCTACAGTCCTACCCTTCAGAGCCCGGTGGGTTCAAGCACCTGTCCTTTTGGTTAACCAGTCCATAAGCCCTTATTGTATGTCAGGCCTGCACAAAGCACTTCCCATACACCATATCCTTCATTCGTCATGAGATAGCCCCATTTCACAGGGGAGTAGACTGATGCTCAGAGAACTGACATGCTCTGATTAGGGATGCACATTTGGAGGGAAGTAGAATGGGGTGCTGGCTCTTGACACCATGTTGCTTCTTTGGCTGTTACCTATTCATTTCCACGAACAAAGAGCAGCTTTCCTCACTGCTAGTGTGTTGTTTTCTCCCAACCTGGGTCACGCCCTTCCTGTCATCATCACTCACCCTCACAGGGTCCTCAGATGTAACAGTTCATGTAAAGTATTTGCCTCCCAGTCGGTGCTCAACATATGATGTCATAGCTCTTTAGTCTATCAGAGCTGGGCTCTAATAATACCAGCTTTTTCCTTGGCTTGTAACTATGGTTATTGTTGCTTTGTGCTCAACGACTGACATGAAGATTGGAATCCTTCCAGGAGCACCATGGAAAAAAGCCTGGGGATCTTCTATAAAGATTACCCCAGTGCTGTCTAGTTGATTTCACAGCGGAGGACATTGCTTATCTTAACAGAAAATGCTGCTAATGGTGGAGTCTCTTACAGAGATCATTTACAGTCATCATCCACATTTTTTCCTCTGCCTTTATTTGAGGTCTGCAGTGAGGTGGACAGTTCTGGAATCTGCTAGATGTCACACAGAGAAAAAAATGCCTTGAAGAGCTGGAGTTGCTCACAATCTTGTCCCCCTTGCAGCTGAAAGAGGACCAGCAGAGGGCGCTTCTGAGGCGGGAGTTTGAGCTGCAGAGTCTGAGCCTCCAGCGAAGGCTGGAACAGAAATTCTGGAGCCAAGAGAAGAACATGCTGGTGCAGGAGTCTCAGCAGTTCAAGCACAACTTCCTGCTGCTTTTCATGAAGCTCAGATGGTTCCTCAAGCGCTGGCGGCAGGGCAAGGTCTTGCCCAACGAGGGAGATGACTTCCTGGAGGTATGGTTGGGCCCAAGGCCAGCACTGCAGGGGCGCATACAGGGTGGGAGAGACCCCCTACTGTTGGAGTTACCATAGACCTGACGACACATACAAGCCGTTAGCTTGCAGGCTTCCATCTGCACATTCGTTTGCTCGTTCTCCAGATCTTTACTGGTTTTGTGGCAGATACCGGGGCTACCACAGTGGGAAAGACAGACTTGATCCAACAGGAGCAAGTCTCTGGGAGCTAGTGGGTCTCTAAATTGCTAGTTTCCCTTACTAATGGATCTTAGAACCTTTATCAGACCATATTAACTAGGTGAATTTAATAACCCTGCTTTGTTGTTACTGCATTTTATTTAGATATTACGTATATTGTTGTGGTCTGCCAGGGAGTCAGAACCAATTCATAGCTGACCCGTCCAGCAGTTTTTCAGAGACTGTAAATCCCACAGGAAGAGATATCCATCTTTCTCTCAACAGAGCAGTGAGTGGATTTGAACCACATGCCTTTGGGTTGGCAGCGCAACCTCTTACCACTAGGCCACCAACACTATTATATAGAAATATAAAAAAACCCCTTGACGCGAGCTCTGGTGGCCTAGTGGCAAGAAGCTGCACTGCAATCCCAGAGGCGCATGGTTCGAATCCACCAGATGTTGTGCTGGGAAAGGAGGGACAATCTCCTCCTGTACCAGTCAGATCTGATTTGACGGTACACAAACACAAAATAATAATAAAATTTAAAAACACAACCCCCCCCAAAAAAAAACCCTTGACAATACCTGACAACAAACAACATGTTTCTTTTATTGTTTCAAGGTATCATTTATGTACAGTGCACTCATGGTAAGTGTACAGCCTGATTTCTGTGTTAAGTGCTGTTGAGTCTACTCCCAACTCGCAGCAGCCCTGTGTACAGTAGGGTAAAATCCTGCCTCTTGAACCATCCTCACCAGCATTGCTGTGCCCGAGCCCTTTGGTGCCTTGTCGACCCATCTCTCTGAGAGTCTTCCTCTTTGTTGCTGACCAAGTGTGCTGTCCTTCAGGGACTGGCCCCTGATAACATGCCCAAAGCATGTGGGATGAAGTCATTCTGACAGTTCACACCATACAAGTCCCACCCTGATCCAGATCACAAGAGAATGCATTTCCAATGTTCTAGAAGTCTCTCACATATCCTTTTCTAATGAAAACACTCTAGCAGTTTAACGACAGCTAACCACTGCCCTAACCAAGTCTAACCACTGTTGTGACTTTTTACCCTATTGACTGGTTTTGCGGATTCTAGGGCCTTTTGCATATGAAGTGCTGCCGCATGTTGTCTTTCTTTTGCATCTGGTTTCTTTGGTTCAGCACAGATTTTTGGAAATTTGTCCTTGTTTTGCACGTAGTGGAAGTTGACTCTTCACTGCTATAGATTATGCTATTGTATGAATATATCTGCTTTACTTATTTTTCGTAGTATTTTATTGCCTTATCAGGAGGAGTTTACACAGTACATACCCATTTGATAATTTCTACTCCATTTGTTCTGCATTAGCTGCATTCTCCGCAGTGTGCCCACATTCTCTTGAATTGCTTGCTAGTTCTGTTCCTAGTTGTCTAAACTAGAATCTTCTCTGTGCTTGAGAGTAATTGTTTTTTTCTTTTTAATAATACCTTTGATTTATGGCAATGACTCAAATTCCTTGTTAAAATATTTTTTTTTAACTAGAAAAACCCAAGCTGTATTCGTTTCTGAGGACTGCATTAACAAAGGACTACTAAATGGGTGGCTTATAACAGAAATACATTGCCTCCTAGTTTTGGAGATGTCTAAACCTGCCCCTCCTCTAGTTAATGACAATAACGTCTTACTCCAGCAGGAAACCTTAGCGGCATCCTAAGTTCTTCTCTTTCTCCATCTGTCACTCCCATTTGTCAGCAAGTCCTGCCTGCCTTACTTCCAAAATCTATATGGAATATAAGTGATCTCTACTTCCTTCAGCACCTCACAGTGTAGGTCACCATTACCTCTTGCCTGCATCGTTGTCGCATCCTCCTCTGTGACCTCTCTGTGCCCTGAAGCACTGATTATTACACAGCTCCACTGAGCACCATTCTGTGTTCCGGGTGGATGGAGTTAGACATATATGGGCTATGATGCATTTCAATGTGGCAGCCAAAGTGATAATTATTAAAAAAAGGCAGATCATGACAGTCTTTAGCTCATAATCTTCCCCTGGCTTCTGTTTAACCCAAATTAAAAGCCAAAGTCCTCATTGACCTGATGTTGTGCCTGTACCTCTCACTTCCTGCTTGGCTCTCTCGCTGTTCCTCAGTCACATTCCCACCTCAGGGCCTTTGCACTTGCTGTGCCATGTTCTTGGCATTCCCTCCTCCAGATATTTGTGTAGATTATTCTTCTCTTACCTCCTTCAGAACTTTGCCAAGTACCACCTTCTTCTTGAGGCCTTCCAAGACCACTCCTACCCCCAACATCCCAGCTCGTTCCCTCATTCTGTTTTTCTGGGTGACACCAATCACTATGTGATGTTCATTACATTTAAATGATATCTCATACATTTCACCCAACGGTAAGGGAATGCACTATCTATCCAAAGGCAAATGGTTCAAATCCAACAGCTACTCTGTGGGAGAAAGATGGGCAGTCTCCTCCATGTGCTCTATAGCCTCTGAAAACCTGCTGGAGGATCAGCTATGAGTTCACTATCACTTGATGGTACATAACAGCAGCCCAGCTTCTGGAATGCAAGGTGGAAGAGAGACTTGATTTTTTTCTGTCTTGCTCACTGATGTATCCTTCTTAGTAACACAAGGCCTGGCAGATGGTAGGTTTTCAATAAATATTTGGTGACTGAATGAATAAGTGATGAATAAATGCCCCTCTCAGAAGGTGACAGTCCTCTCCTTTGTTCCCATCCAGAGTTAATACTTTGGCTCCTTGGCTAGCCCTGGACACTGCCCAGTATCCATCAGTACCAAGCCCTCCTCCCAGGAGTCCCTTTGCCCACTCACACCTTTGTTACCCTTTTGTTCCAACCACAGCACCTCCGCTGACCCAGCTTGCCAGTGTGTTTCATTTTGAATTCAGGGATGTCTTCTGGGCCTTTAGACCAGAGGAGGTGGTATAGGTGGCCCAGATTTGTCTAGCTATGTTCTTTGGCCTAGATGGAGGTTAAGATTTGGGAAATTTGTGCCAACCTGGGGATTAACTTCGGCCCATTCTCCACCCTAAGCCTCTCATTCCTCCAACCTGCTTGACTCTACCAGCAGCCTCCATTCTGTCTGGGTTGCAAGCCAGAGGGCCTCCCACCCCCTTGTTGAGTGTTGTTGCTGTTTTAAATAGGTAAACAGCATGAAGGAGCTCTACCTGCTGATGGAGGAAGAGGAGCTAAACGCCCAACATTCTGACAACAAGACCTGTACGGGGGACAGCTGGACACAGAACACGGTGTGTGCTCAGCCCCTTCCCCATTTTGTCCTGTCCGTTTGCTCCATTTGGTCATTTTCTGCTGCCTTCTCTGACCCCAGCCCTGCTTCTGAGAGCTGGAGTTGTAGAGGGTCAGGTGAGGGATTTTAGGATCCCACATGTGATTGCAATGAATTCTGTTTGGAGTGGAGGGAAAAGTATCATGGAGACAGCATCTTAGGATGTGGTTTTTGAAGGATGAATAGGCGTTTGTGTGATAGAGAGTATGGAAGGTCATTCTCAGCCAAGAGAATTGTGCATGCAAAAGGGTGTGGAACGTAGTCTGTGTTTGTATTTGGCTGTGCCGTGTGATTGATGTACAGGCAAGAGGTAACAATAAGGTGGTCAATCTGAAGTGGGGCCTGTGGTCTGGGGCTTGGAAACTCTCAGATAAAGCACGGGGCAGAAGGGGTAGTGGGGCCGTTCTCCTAGCGTGCACACAGTGAGCTGGGAATATGGATGAGAAGCCCAGGAGAGATTTGAGACTAACCAGGCACAGCTGGGGAGCTTCCTGAGCCACTCTTCCCATTTGGCCTGTGGTGGGTCAAAGAGACACATCTCGGGCAGGGAGACTCACCTAGGGCTCCAGCACTGCAGAGTGTGGAGGAATTGAGGGCTCAGCTCTGAGTTAGGCTACCAATGACTGCTGTAACTGCAGATATTTTTGCTTTTGTGAAGTTAGGACACGTGCGGCCCAGGAGGTGGTCACGGCTGGGTTTGCCACACCCATTATGTGGACGAGGTGACCCATGAGACTGCAGGACATGTCCAAGGCTTGTGGGGTCGCAGGCTGGCTTCCTGAGGGAATGCTCTGAGCTCCAGGGTCCTTTCTCTACCCCTGTGAAAGCTCGTAACCCCAGCCGTGCCCCTGTCCACAGCCCAACGAGTACATTAAGACGCTGGCTGACATGAAGGTGACGCTGAAGGAGCTGTGCTGGCTGCTCCGGGATGAGCGCCGAGGTCTGACTGAGCTTCAGCAGCAGTTTGCCAAGGCCAAGGCCACCTGGGAGACAGAGCGGGTGGAGCTCAAGGGTCACTCTACTCAGGTGAGTCCCCACCCTGGTTACTCCATCTCAGCCATACCCTCAGTTGTCAGATCTGGGAACCGGACACCCACACTATACTCCCGGACACACAGGAACCCCTTCACTTCATCCTGTAATCCAGAGAGATCGAGGATCTTGTCTGTAGTTACACAGCAGTGGTGCTGGAAACAGTGGGAATGAGGTGTCACTGGGCCAGGGAAACAAGGTAGGGGATTGACAAAGGGGGTAGGAACACCTCTCCCACCTGATGCTCACAGCGAGAGCTAGGTGTTTCATACCCGGGGATGTCCTTGAGGCACAGATGTGCACCCGCACTCACTCACTCTCACTCTCTCAGTCTCTCTCCTGCTGCCTACCAGCCTCTTTTATTCCTGTCTCCTAATCAGGATATCTATCCATTTACTTCTTCCTCGCTCCGTTTTGCTCTCTTTGTTGACTCTCTGGGGCTCCCTCCCAACAACTCCGTGTGATTTAATGAGCCTTAACCAGGTGAAGCCCGGGGAATTGGAGTTCTACTGTGTGCTTCAGGGCAGGCTGCTGCCCGGAAGAGTGAGAGAGTAGGCTTCCTCTTGTCCGGAGACAATGCTCTGACCACACCAGCTCTGCAAGGCTCTCCGCTTCCTCCCGCCCACTCTTGTAATAGACTATCTTTCCAGGCCTCATGGGCCCCTTGGGAGTATATTGAATTATCTCTGCTGAGTAGGGGACAAAACAAGCCTCAGGGAATTTAGTTTCTTTTCCAAGATCACCCAGTGAGTAATGGGCAGATTGACCCTCAACTTCCCTTTGAGATTGCAGTGCAGTTTCTTACCACTAGGCTACCAGAGCTCCCTGACTCTCAACTTCCCAAACCTCTGTCCCTCCTGGTTCCCCACAACCCTGATCCTTACCTTCCTCCAGCTTCTCATTGGTTTTGGCTTCCAGGTGCCAGTTCTCTCCTCCTTAACCCTCCCTACACATCTTAAAGCTCCTATCCATCTGGGCATGGTCCCCAGTGTCCATTCCTACAGCAGAGCACCTCAACCCCAGCCAGTACAGATGCTTCTCAACCCGAGGACCCTGACTGGTCCCCTGGGTTAACAGCTCACAACCCAGTATTATGGGGTACGTTGATTCATGAGGCTAAAACCCAGGATTGAGGGAAGGCGGAAAGCAGAGTGGAAGGTCCTCCTGGTGCCCACCACTCAGTCTGCGTTGCTTCTGCAGGTGGAGCTGAAAGCTGGGAAGGGCCCTGGGGAGCGGCCAGGGCCCGACTGGAAGGCAGCCCTGCAGAGGGAGCGTGAGGAACAGCAGCACCTCCTGGCTGAGTCCTACAGTGCTGTCATGGAGCTGACGCGGCAGTTACAGATCAGCGAGCGCAACTGGAGCCAGGAGAAGCTGCAGCTGGTGGAGCGGCTACAGGGCGAGAAGCAGCAGGTGGAGCAGCAGGTGAAGGAGCTGCAGAACCGCCTGAGCCAGGTGAGGTCTGGTCTACAGCAAACTGAGAAACCACAGGGGGAGGTCACTGTAAGAAAAGGCCAGGGTTAGGCTCCCTTGGGTATGGCTGGATCCAGGGGTTCACATGATGAAGTCCAGAGGTAGAATCAGCTTCAGCTACAGGTGGATCCAGGTGCTCAAGCAATGAGTTGCAGTGGCAGATTCGAACTGCGTGCCTTTGGATTGGCAGCACAACTCCTTACCACTAAATCTCCAGAGCTGCTGAAAAGAGAGGAAGAAGGAAAAATCATCATTTTTTTTTTTTGCCCCCCAAGCAGACATATGCATACGCATGTTTATTGCGGCTTTGTTCACAAGAACAGAGAGTTGGAAACAACCCAAGCGCCCATCAACAAACAAATGGATAGAGAAGCTGTGGTATATTCACACAATGGAATATAATGCAGCACTGCAAAACAAAGAATTCATGAAATATTATACAAAATGACTGACCATGGAGGACATTATGCTGAGTGAAATATCTCAGTCACAAAAACACAAATACTGCATAATACCACTGTTATAGAATAGGACTGATATGGGGGTTGAGGGGAAAATAAGAAAAGAGGCGATAAATAATGTACACAACATTGAAACAGATGCAGGAGAGAACTGTATAAAAGGAACATATGATTAGGTATTATTGGCACCCAGAATAAGAGTTGCATAGTAAAGGCCATTACTGCAGGAAAAGGTCATCATTGACCTCTACACCCACACTAGAGTTCATACCATTCAACTCGCTCCTGTACGCCACTCTACTTAACTTGACTTCTTCCTTTGCTTTATGTATTTCCTTGTTATTAAGGTAAAATATGTATAACAAAATCATTGCTATTTTTAAGTGTATAGTTGAATGCCATTACTTATATTCACTGAAGTTCCGTCTGACATATTTTGGGCATGTTGCAAGGAGGGACCAGTCCTTGGAGAGGGATATCATGCTTGAGAGGGTGGAGGGACAGTCCAAGAGAGGAAGACCCTCAATGAGATCGATTGATTCAGTGACTGGGGTAATGGGGGTAGGTGCGTTAGAGACAATAAGGTTGTCTCAGGATGGAGCAGAGTTCAGAGCTGTTGTATAGCTATGAGTCATAGACAACTTGACAGAACTTAACACCAACAACATGTTATAGCTGTCATCACTGTCTAGTTCCATTTATTCCCCCCATCATCCCTTTAAGCAATAACTCACCTCCGTCACCACTCCCAGGGAGCTCTGGTGGCTTCGTGGTAAGCTGCACTACAGTCATAAAGGCACACGGTTGAAATCCACCAGCTACTCTATAGGAGAAGAATGGGCATTCTTTTCTTGTGCGATTTACTGCCTCCAAAAACCCGCTGGAGGATTAGTTATGTGTTGGATCTGACTCGGCAACATACAACCACCCCTTTCACCACCACCACTCCCAACCCTTAGTAACTACTCATCTACTTTTGTCCCTGTTCCTTTGCTTTACTTTAAAAAAATGATTGTGCTTTAGATAAAAGTTTAAACAGAAATTAAGTTTTCCATTTAATTGCTTTTGTTCAATTGTCCCATAACACTAGTTACAGATTTTTAAAAATGTCCATTTTCTCATTATCTTCATTTATTTAACTTCCCTACCCCTCCATTAATACAGTGACTGTGGTTATGGGGTCAAGTATGTCAGAGGTGGTAAGATTGGCTCAGGATAGGGCAAGGTTCAGAGCTCTTCATAGGGTCAAATTTACAGCACATAACAATAGCCCCTTCTGCCTTCTTATCTTTGCGTTTGGGTAAATGTTGACTTTTTTTTTTTTTTTAATGTTGACTTTTTAATCTTGGATAATTGATTGTTCCAAGAGGCACATTCCTCACAGATGATATTGTTTGCTTTCTATGCCAATCTGTTACTTGACTGAAAAGAAGCTTTTAGAAGTGGTACTTCACTTTTCAGTCAGATCAAGATTTTATCTTGATAAGAGACTCAAAACATGAACAAAACCATACTCTAACCCAGTCCCTCCCTTTCTTGCTATATTCACAGAGATATTTTTTAAAATCATAAACTGGATGATAATGTACATGTTGGTTACACTTTGCCTGTTTCTACACATGACTGAGGGTAGAGACTTAGTTCATTCTGTTTAATGTTTCTACTATGGAGACACCATGATTTATTGCATATTGAGGAGGCCTAGAATACTTACAGTTTTTCAGTATTAAAAAGCATTTATTACCTTTTTTATGCACATAACACAAGTATTTCAGCATGTTAGATACCTGTAAGTAAAAGGCATCTGCATTTATATTTGATGGAAATTTCCAGGCTGTCCTTCCAGCAAGAAGTGCCTCTTTTGCCTCATCTTTGCCAGTTCTTTTTAGTACCAGTCTTTAAAAAGCGTCTGCCAGTACAATGGTATCAAATGCTCTCTTCTTGTTTAAAGGTACAGTTCCCCAACTGCTCGTGAAGCTTGAGCATCTTTTGATGGATTTGTTCACTGTTTACATTTCCTCTTCTATACGTTAGTTCTGTTCGTCTAGGAATCCTGAAAGTTTGTTCTCATTAAAACCATTTTTCAGATAGGGGACTGAAATTGACGCTTCTACAGGGACAGAAGTCTCCTTGTGGTCACTCAACTAAGAATCTGTTCTTGGTTCATGCCAGGCAGCATCTGAAGTCAGTATAATAATATGAAAATCAGATCATGTACATTGTAGATGCAGAGCAACTGAAAGGTACACCTTGGAAACGAAATAGCCAGTAGGTGGTGGGTGAGGATGGCCCACCATTGTTCCACCTCAGATCTTGTCTGAGACTTGCTGTCCCTTTAGTTCTGGTTTCCCTGTGTCTGTTTGCCAATCTTCTGCCTCCTTCACTTCAGACCAGGCCCCAAAACCTCATTCTTCTTTGAACTGAGCAGCCTGTTAAACTGAAGCCTGCAAAAACTAGTCTTGTAGCCACCCTGAAAAGGGTCACAGTAGAAGATCCTGAATAGCATGGGCACAAAAGTGGAACAAGACTCAACAACATAAAAAATTCTCTGGTAAAGACTGGTGGAACCCTCAACATAATGGTAATGCTTTGAGCCTGGAACAAAACTCACCCCACCCCCAACCCCAAAGCTCTGCTTCCAGCCAAACTACAGTGGACAGGCCTGTAAGGTGACCAGTAACATTCGGGAGGCACTCAGTCCTCAGAATAAACAGCCATATGAGGTCAAAGAGCAGCATTTGCCCAAGGATAAAGCCCAGAAGTCAAGGAGGAGTAGAATAGAAGGACGAATAGAAATAAGAATGACAGGGAGGAAGTTAGGAGAATTATGTTTACCGTTCATGTTCTAAAGCAAAACATGAATGAATGGTTGAAGGAAGAATTAACATGCTTTGTAAGCTTTCACTCAAATTACAACTTTAAAAAAGCAAAACAAAAAACCAGTTCTGTGAAAGCAGCTGCCAGAGTAGCAGGTGGAATTTGGTTCTGATTAGGAGCTGTGTCCTCACCTGACGCTTCCAGGTGTATCACTAGTCAGGTCATGTTTACTCACTTAACTTGTCTCTAAAACAAGAACAATGGTACATCTCACAGGGAGATGGAATGAAACAGATTTGAAAATACTTGTCAAAGTGCTCCAAGGATTCACCCTCACCCGAGACTGGGCTTGATTCAGCTCTGTGACCTCAGTTTTCCATCGTTGCTATTCACACGTGGTGGTGTTGCCCTGATGCTTGTCTCCTGTTGGTTCCCATGAAGCCAAGTCTGAGATAAGGATTTACCTATAAGCAGGGTGACCAACTTTTCCCAGTTTTCCTTAGGATTTTCTCTACTCTTTAAGCTTTAAAACTGGAACTTTCACCCAGAAAACCCCAAACCTGCTGTCAAGTCAAATCCGACTAATAGTAACCCTTCATCAGGTCCCTGATGCTGTGCATCGCTATGGGAGTAGACTCCCCATTTTTCTTCTGTAGGGTAGTGAGTGGATTCAAACAGCTGACCTTTTGGTAAGTAACCCTGCACATTAAACCTTACATTACTATTGTTGCTGTTGTTAGGTGCTGTCGAGTCATGTGTGACCCTATGAACAACAGATCTGAGCCCTGTGTGAATAACAAGTGATGGCTAGCATTGAGAAGCATGGGAATACCAGACCACTTAATTGTGCTCACGCGAAACCTATACCTAGACCAGGAGGCTGTTTTGCAAACAGATCAGGGAAACATTGCATGGTTTAAAATTAGGAAGGGAGTGAGCCAGGGTTGTATTCTTTCTCTATACTTATTCAATCTGTCTGGTGAGCAAATCATTCGAGCAGCTGAACTCTATGAGGAATAATGTGGCATCAGGATCGCAGGGAGATTTATCAATAACCTGCAATATGCAGATGACACAACCTTACTTGCTCAAAGTGAGGAGAACTTGAAGCATTTGTTGCAAAAGATCAAAGGATACAGCCTTCAATATGGATTGAATCTCACTGTCAAGAAAACAAAGAATTTTTTACCTCTGGACCAATTGGCAACATCATGACAGATGGAGAAAAGATTGAAACTGTCAACAACTTCATCTTGGATCCACAATTAACACCCTTGGTACCAGCAGGAGACATTTTGCATTGGGAAAGTCTGCAGTTAGGGGCCTCTCCAAATTATGGAGGTGCAGTGATGTCAGTTTGAGGACTAAGGTGCGTGTGATTCAGACATTGGTCTTTCTGATAACTTGCTCTGCACCTGAGAGCTAGACAGTGAATAAGGATGACAGAGAATTGATGCCATTGAGCTGTAATGTTAGAGAGGAGCACTGACCATCCTATGGACATCCAGAAGCTCCAACAGATATGTCTTGGAGAGGGTGCAGCCTAGGTGCTGTCAAAGCTGATGAGGATGACCTCACATACTTCGGGCATGTTGCTAGAAGGGGCTGTTCCTTGGAGAGAGACATAACACTGGGAAAGGGAGAGGATCAAAGAAGGAAAGGAAGACCCTCACCCAGGTGGATTGACACAAGGGACTGCTGCGGTGGGCTCTAATGTGTCAGTAAGTACGAGGCTGCCACAGGGTAGGACAGCTGTAGAGTGCCTTCATGTGGGGAGCTCAAGAGTCTTGTGAATCGTCCCACAGAGTTTTCCCACCTTGAGGAAAGGGGCTGGCCTTCTGTGTGCTTTGTGTTAGTCTGTCATTAGCTTCAAGTGAGTTCCATTTCTCTGAGGTGATCTTCTTGGGAAGGCTGCAGCCACACTTGGGGGACAGACCACCAGGTCACAAAACACAGGATTGGCTACATTACTGTTAATGTCATTGCCATTCACTCAGATGCCAGTTTGGTCAAATTCTTTCCCTTCTTTCAATCTTGTGTGTCTTATCTGTGAAGTTGAAATGATAATGCTAACTAACACCTTAGAAGGCTGCTGTGAAGATTAAATTAATGAATGTGTGAATATCAAGTGAGCTCAATCACACAGCACCTGGAGGTGATGGTTCGCCAGGAGGCCAGGATGAGAGACCAGGTCGGGGCTTGATGGAGAAGAGTGCAGGGATCTATCGGTGTTGAGATCTGTAGCAGGCATGTTTGGATCTTGCATCTGCCATCTTTGAAGTCACATGGCTGTTGGCACTTTTACCTCAATGGTACATAAACTCACACAGCAGGTGCTTCCTTTTCCTGTGAGTGACCTCAGGTGATCTCCTAAAATGATTCGCTATTCGCTTGACCTATAATATCATGCAAATCAAGAGGTTCAAATCTCTGGGTTCATTTTCTCTCTCTCTCTCTCTTTTTTTTTTTTTTTGTACAATCAATGATTTTTTTTGTTGCAAATAACTTTTTTAAAAATTTTTACTAGTTTATTTACAGAATTTTAGTATATTGTAAAAAAGAACAAATTCTTTCCGTTTTCCTCACCCAGCCCCCATCAGATTGTACAACCCCATGATTAATCCCCACTTCCCCCTGCACATCCACATCCCTCTGCTTCTACCCCTCTTAGAGGATCCTTATACTCATTCTACAATAATGGTTTTATACAATATTTATCCTTTGGGAGCTCTGGTGGCCTAGTGGCATTACAATCCCAGAGGTTAGAATCCATCAGATGCTCTGCAAGAGAAGGAGGGGCGATCTCCTCCTGTACCAGTCAGATCCGATCTGACGGTGTATACACACACACACACACACACACACACACACAAATCAAAACAAAAAAAACCCAACAATACTACAAACCAATATTTATCTTTGTGGGACTGAGTTGCTTACTTAGCATAATGCTCTCCAGTCCCTCCCAATTTAGATCCATTTTAAGAACACCCAGGAAACTGCCCAGGCCATCAAAGATATGCACATCTGGAAAGCCACCAAGTATCTCAAAGATGTCACTTTGCAAAAGCACCATGTACCATTCTGACATTACAGTGGTGGAGTTGATTGGTGTGCCCAGGCCATAGAGTGTGGCTGGACATAGGATCAGTGGCCCAAACAGAGTTTTTGCTGCATATCCTTAAAAATGCTAAGAGTAATGCTGAACTTAAGAGTATAGATATTGATTCTCTCGTCAGTGAACACATCCAAATGAACACAGGCCCCAAGATGCACCACCACACGTACCGAGCTCTTGGTCGGATTAACCCCTCCATGAGCTCCCCCTGCCATATTGAGATGATCTTTACTGAAAAGGAACAGATTGTTTCTAAACCAGAAGAGGAGGTTGCCCAGAAGAAAAATATCTCCCAGAAGAAACGGAAGAAACAAAAACTTACGGCTCAGGAATAAATGATTCAGCATCAAATAAAATTCAAATAACTCTAAAAAAACCCTTAACATAGCAATAGTCATTGTATCTGCTGCAGACATGATGGGCATCTTTTACCAGGCCTATAGATAACTTGGGTTCACTCTGTCCCCACATTGTGGGGAGCTTGGAGGTGCTGTCCACTGAACAGATGGCTCCTGGTTCATGACTGGGTCCGCACTCAGGCTGCAGCTGGCGAGAACCCAACAAGGTAGAGTCACTACTCGCCAGCTTCCCCTCCACTCACCCACCTCCCTTCCCCCCACTCCAGCTGCAGAAGGCTGCCGATCCCTGGGTCCTGAAGCACTCAGACCTGGAGAAGCAGGACAACAACTGGAAAGAGGTAAGCGGGGTTGCTGGTTGCTCCCTCTTTCTTGACTCCTGACAGCTCTCACTGCAAAGTCCCTACAGAAACGATGTTGGCTGCACCCCAAAGATGGCACCTTTGCACCTTGGTTTCTTCTCATTCTTTCTGAGGGTATTTATTTCATGATTCCTACTGATGGTTTAAGCTCTATGAAGGGTCTTCTCCAGGCCTGGGGATAAGGTTTGGGTGTTTCATATGCCTTTGGCTAGTCTCTGTGCCTTCTCTTGATTTCACTTTTTGTTTCTCAGAAAAGCCAGACCTCTAAATAACTGTGTGGTTTGTGGCTAGCCACGTTGCCTCTCTGGGGCCTGGTTGCCTCATTGGTAAAATGAAACTCCCTTTCTAAAATGATTTCTTCCCTGGCCCAGCCCCAGTTGGGGAGATCAGTGAGGCTGCATTGGTAAAGCTTTCACGTGCACTTCAGGCCTAGTCTCCCAATAGCAATATGCCGAGGAATAAGCCCTTTGCTGAGGAAGTAGCTTGTCAGTCAGAAGACTGGTTTATAAGCAACAAAAAAGATTGAGTAATGGGGGCACGAGAGGATTTTACTGAGGACTCAAGGAAGCCAGTGATTGCAGGTTCAGAATATTAACCCAGATGCAGGGGAACCGTGCCTCTGGAACCCAGGGAGAACAGGCTTCTGAGCTGGAGCTGTCTGGTCACTCTGTCACTGTCAGCTGCACTGCTAACCATTAGATGTTTTGTGACTCCTTTTGGAGAAAGAAGGTCTCTATTGGAACTCCAAGTGGTCGCACTTAGACCATGTACCCATAGCCTCATAGATAGGGAGAAAAAAGGGCAAATAATAGAGAGTGGACGCAACTGACCAGTAGGTCATCTAAAGCATTGTTGAAGTCACGCTTGTTCTACAGAGGAGACCTAAGGCCTGGAGGAAATGTCCCATCACCTTCCCTTGGAGCTCTTGTGACTGAACTGACCTCCTCTCTTTTCCCCAGCAGACTCGCAATGAGAAGATCCATGACAAGGAGGTTGCTTCAGAAGCTGAGATTGGGGGAACTGGCTTAAAGAGGTACTGGCGCTGTCTTCCCCTGTTCTACACTGATGGCCCCTCCCAGCCCTTCCTCTCCCCCCTCCCATGTGTCTACTGGTGCATCTTAACAGAGTTGGGAGGGAAATAGGTTTCTGTGGGAACCAAGCCACCCAAGAGTTGGGGTGGTCAGAATTCCAGCCTGTGATTTTCAGTTTGGTTGGTTCTAAGTTTAGGAAACCGGGGCACCAGAATATCTTCACTGGGAGAAAAAAAGTCTTCATTGTGGCCTCTTCAGGGAGATTTCCAACCCCACCCCCTTCCTGTTTCTAGAGTTAGTAAAGTCAAGATGGACATCCATTCTTAGCATTACTAAGTGGCAGGCTTTGGAGCCAGCTTTGGGCTGTGACCATAAGAGGCAGCCAGGATCTAAGGACCGTGGATGGGAAATCCATCAAAAAGTGAAGAAAGCAGAACACATCCAGGACATGCAGCAAGCAGGTCCTACAGTTAGGAGGGTGGGCAGTGGGCTCAAGACCCCTGGGTCCAAGTTCTAACCCTGTGGCTTTAGGCCAGTCTTTCTGCTCACCTGAATGGTGAGACTGATAGGAGTCATCTCTTGGATTTCTGGAAGGAAGGGTATGACGTGTGATGCGTGCATAGGGGCCTGGCACTTGCTCTTCCAGCCACACATGCAGCACATTCACATCAGGGAGTTTGGTCCCTGCCTGGCAGCAAACAATGAGACAAGGATTTAAGGGCAAATGGTTTCTTAGGGAGAAGGAAAGTAGGACAAGGAAGGGAGACAGCGAATAAAGGAATGTTATCAAAGCCAGTTACACCATGGGCAACTGGAGTTCAGTCTTGCAAAGGAAACCTGTGAACCAAGGTAGAACATGCAACTGAAGAATCAGTCCCACCCAAGGAACAGGGAGCTAGAGTATTTATCCTCCAGTCACCACGAACTGATTGATGAGGGTTCTGTCTTGGCGCATTAACTTAATGATATTATTAGTTTCTCTGTGTCGCAGCTCTCCAGACAGAGCCCTCAGGTAGAAAGTGGCAGGGGTGCACACAGTGTAGTTTTGGGTGTGTAGAGGGTATGAGGCAGGCCACCAACACCACCTTCTACAAGAAGTGAACAAGACAACCCTGGTCTCTGCCCTCCTACAATGCCACTCCAGCGAGCTGGACCAGAGTGTGTGCTTGGTCTCTGCTGTCTCCCACTGACACTGTTTTTCTTCTGTTGCTTCTCCCAGGACCAAATCAGTTTCTTCCATGTCTGAGTTTGAAAGTTTGCTTGACTGTTCTCCTTACCTTGCGGGCGAAGCCACCCGGGGCAAGAAGCTATCCAACAGCTCTGCCTTTGCCTTTGTGGACCCCGAGTCCGTGGACCCGGAGAAGGATGCTAAGGAGAAGCCAGGCCTCTCCCCACAGGACTGCAGCCGCCTGGGTGCACTGGACTGCCATGGCCCTGGGGGTAGACAGATGCAGCGCAGCCACACGGCTCCTGACAAGACAGGTATTCGCGTCTACTACAGCCCTCCGCTGGCGCGGAGACTGGGTGTCCCTGTGGTCCACGATAAGGAGGGCAAGATCATCATAGAACCTGGCTTCCTCTTCACCACCGCCAAGCCCAAGGAGTCAGCCGAGGCAGATGGACTGGCCGAGAGCTCATATGGCCGGTGGCTCTGCAACTTTTCCCGGCAGCGCCTGGAAGGCAGCTCGGGAAGTGGCCCCTCTGCGGCTGGACCCGGTTTCCCAGCCGCTCTGCACGACTTTGAGATGTCAGGCAACATGAGTGATGACATGAAGGAGATCACTAACTGTGTGCGCCAGGCCATGCGCTCAGGCTCGCTGGGGAGGAAAGTAAAGAGCACATCCAGCCAGACGGTGGGCCTGGCCAGCGTGGGCACCCAGACTGTGCGCACAGTCAGCGTGGGCCTGCAGACCGACCCACCCCGCAGCAGCCTCCATAGCAAGAGCTGGTCTCCCCGCAGCTCCTCGCTCGTCTCTGTGCGCAGCAAGCAGATATCCTCCTCCCTGGACAAGGTCCATGCTCGCATTGAGCGGCCATGCTGCTCCCCCAAGTATGGCTCCCCAAAGCTCCAGCGGCGGTCAGTGTCCAAGCTGGACAGCACAAAGGACCGTAGCCTGTGGAACCTGCACCAGGGCAAGCAGAATGGCTCGGCCTGGGCCCGCTCTACCACCACACGGGACAGCCCTGTCCTGAGGAACATTAATGATGGGCTGTCCAGCCTCTTCAGCGTAGTGGAGCACTCGGGGAGCACCGAGTCTGTCTGGAAACTGGGCATGGCTGAGACCCGACCTAAGCCCGAGCCTCCCAAGTATGGCATTGTGCAGGAATTCTTCCGTAATGTGTGTGGCCGAGCGCCAAGCCCCACCTCTGTGGCAGGGGAGGAGAGCACCAAGAAGCCAGAGCCCCTCTCTCCAGCCAGCTACCATCAGCCGGAAGGCATGGCCAGGATCCTGAATAAGAAAGGAGCCAAGTCATGCAGCATTGAGGAGGCCAGGCCCACTCTGCTCCCCCAGGTGGGGAAGGATGGTATCTCCCGAGATGGAGAGGGAGCCACTGTTCTTCCCAATGAGGTAAGTGGCTGAGATGGTGGCTTACCCGAGAGTGCTGTTGACTTACCAAGTCCAAGCATGGGGAAGTGGGCTGTGTTTCAAAAACATTCTTGTGCTAGTGGAAATCCTGCTAGGCACTTGGCTAGAGGATCATCACGGTCTCTCTTCCACGCACCCTTGCTTCTTCAGAGGCTCAAATTAATCATATCTGTGAGTTAATGCAACTGAGCCCGCTTTGGGCTTTATTTTGCTTTCTAAACACTTTACCCTTTGAACTAAATCCTCTTGGGATTTGGATTTTGTCGGATTATTGGCAGCTGTCTGAAATTTCCCTACTTTAAACAGTAAGCTTTAAAATTATTTCAAGTGATATGCCAGAAGCCGGCTCGTACCAGCTTATGAGAGCTGATTGATTGCATCTCTTCCCAGTCCTGCTTTTGGAGATAGTCCACAGGCAGAGAAGTATTTGCATCATGGCTATCAGGGTTGTTACTTACCATCCAGTTGGCTGCAATTCATAGTGACCTCGTGTCCAGCAGGATGAGACACTGCTCGGTGCAGGCCCATCCACACAATCTCTGCAGTGGACATTGTGTCAGTCCCTGGGGCACTGCATCTTGTTGAGGGCCTACCTCTCTTTCAATGACTTTTTGAAGCATGATGTTTTTCAACAGGGATAACAGACCTAAAGTGTGTGAGATGAAGGGTCACCACCCTTGCCTCTAAGGAGCACTCTGGCTGTCCTTCATTCAACACAGATTTGTTTGTTCTTTTGACTCTCCATTGTATATACAATGTTCTTTGCTAACACTTTGCTAACAATTCAATGGCATCTCTTCTTCAGTCTTCCTTATTTATTGTATAACATTCACATGCATATTGTTGTTGTTATGAACCATGAAATTGGAACCGGTTCGTACCTTACCCTCCACTGGGTTTTCAGAGGCAATAAATTGCATAGGAAGAGACTGCCCACCTTTCTACCACAGAGCAGCTGGTAGATTTGAACTGCATGCCTTTAGGTTGGCAACACAGTTCCTCAACTAAACGACTAGGACTCCCTACATGCATAAGAAGCAATTGAAAGCTAGCTCTGGTGGCCTAGTGGCAAGAAGCTGCACTGCAATCCCAGAGGTATGCCGTTCAAATACACCAGATGCTGTACTGGAGAAGGAGGGACAATCTCCTCCTGTACCAGTCAGATCTGATTTGACAGTACATACACACAAAATAATAAAATAAAAAATTAAAAAAAAACCACAAAAAACTTAAAAAAAAAAAGCAATTGAAAATACCATGGCTTGGATTTGGATCAGGTGCCACCTTAGGCTTTAAACTGATATCCTTGCTGTTTAGCACTTCAAAGAGGGCCTTAGTAGTATATTTCCCAATGGAATATATTGATTTCTTTTTTGTTTATTTATTGTGTGTGTGTACTGTCAAATCCGATATGACTGATACAGGAGGAGATTGTCTCTCCTTCTCCAGCAGAGTATCTAGTGGATTTGAACCACGTACCTCTGGGATTGCAGTGCAGCTTCCTGCCACTAGGCCACCAGAGCCCCCTTTGGTTGATTTCTTGACTGCTATTTCCATAGATGTTGGTTGTAGATTCAAGTAAAATAAAATCTTTGCCAACTTCTTTTCTCCATTTATTATTATGCTACTTATTGGCCCAGTTAATATTGGCATATGCTATTGATCCAGTCTCTCGGGACATATTGCATTGGGAAAGTCTGTAGTTAGGGACCTCTCCAAATTATTGAAGAATATTGATGTCAGCTTGAGGTCTAAGGTGTGTCTGATTAAGGCTGTGGTTTCTTCAATCACTTGGTATGCATCTGAGAGCTGGACAATCAGTAGGTATAACAAAAGAAGAATTGATGCCTTTGAGTTGTGGTGTTGGAGAAGAACACTGAATATCCTATGGATTGCTAAAAGAACAAATAAATATGTCTTGAAGAGGGTTGAGCCAGAGTAATTTTTGGAGGCAAGGATGATGAGGCTTCATCTCACATACTTTAGGCATGTTGCAAGGAGGGGCTATTCCTTGGAGAGGGATATGGTGCTTGGAAAAGCAGAGGGTTGGCGAAGGAGAGGAAGACCCTCAACCAGATGGACTGACATGGTGACTGTTGGAATGTGCTCCAGTGTAGCAGGAAGTTTGACGATGGTGCAGGATAGGACACAGTTTGGATCCACTGTTCATAGGGTCGCTATGAATCATAATCAACTCAACAGCGCCTAACCACAACAGCAGCAATAACATTGGTCCTGTTGATACTGGTATATACTATAAATCAGGAGTTTGTTTCCTTTTATTTCTCGAGAACTAGCATTTAAACATTTACTAAAATAAAACTGCATTCAAACTTCAAAAAAAAAAAGTTCTCGTATTGCTGTGTTGTCCTGGGATAGGGATTGGAAGGCTCCTTTGGATTGATGACATGGGAATGGCACGGATCTGATGGACCCACGGTCTAAACACCAGGAAGTTAGTGAGCATGACATAAGCAGCCGCTTTGTCAGCGTTGATCAGTATCCCATCTGGCTCATCACTCTCCTGCCGCAAGGACAAGCTAGAACCAGTACTGCACATCTCCATGTTTGGCGGTACTGCCCTGTTTGAAATCAGCAATGGCAGGAGGATTCCCACCATGAGAATTGGCACACGCTACAAATCAAAGCGCCTTGCCATTCTCTAGAAAGCACGATGCTCAACAAATACCAGCGTAACACTGCCGTGGCCCTATCAAGATCCCACACCTTGTTACTCACACTCTCTGAGAATCCTTTGCTATACACATCGCTCCTACTCTGAATATCTTGATGTACTCCTGATTTCATTAGGAATAGATTATGTATTTGTAAAAGAAACCATCTTGGAAGGATGTTGGAAACTCTCATAGAACCCAGGAGCAGGGACCCAAAGGCTTTTTATTTCATAAGCTTCATAAGCTTTTTATTTCTTCTGCCTCGAGTTTCATTTTCTGTAATGCCTTCCTCCTCCTTTCTCTCTCTCTCTCTGTCTCCTGGGTCTAAACATGACTTAGTTGGGTTGTCTTAAGTTCTAACATAACACCTTTCAGTTCAAGTAACTCGCCAAGACACACTCACATCTTTTTGTGTCCATTCCACATTACTGGAAGAAAGAAACACTAATTGGACCACCTTGAATTGAGTATGCCCTTTGGTCCATTTAGGTGTGGCCAGTGGTGTATATCTGTGGTGCACTTTGCATGCAAGTAAGAGCTGTAAGTGGGGAGACCGGAGAAGTGTGAAGGGCCGTGATTCTCAACAAGTCTAAAGCAAACAAACCAAAGCATCTGCCATTGCATTGATTTCAACCCTTCATCTGGTTTCTGAGGCTGTAAATCCTTACAGGAGGAGACTGCCCATCTTTTTCTGGCAGAGAATCCCATTGGAGTCAGAGATGGTTTTGGCTAGTGCCCATGGCTTAGACTTCCTTTGGTTTTAGAAATGAGACTGTGAAATTAAAAAAAAAAAGGATATTTTTGAAGTATTTAGTAAATGTTGCCATTATCTTCTAAAAGCATTTGCCCCATCTGTATTACTCCCAGTATTGAATGCATCCTTTATTTCTTTATACTTTAAACCAGTTGGCTGCATTAAAAAAAAAGCCACTTAAAAGAATTAATTTTTTTTAAATTTTATTTTATTTTATTATTTTTGTGTGCGTGTACCGTCAAATCAGATCTGACTGGTACAGGAGGAGATTGTCCCTCCTTCCTCGGCAGAGCATCTGGTGGATTCGAACCGTGCGCCTCTGGGATTGTAGTTGCAGCTCCTTACCACTAGGCCACCAGAGCTCCCCTAAGAATTAATTTTTAAAAAAAATTAATGCTTATTAAAGGCTTTCCCCACACACACACTGTGTAAATTGTTTACATGTTCTATCTGGTTGGAATTTGGAGGCTTGGCTCCTAGCATCTTAAAAGCAAATAGCTCACTGAATTTTCACAAACTGAATGCACCTCTATAATCTGTACCTACTCCAAAGTACTGAAGAGCAACAATGTCAATTTGTAAACTAAGGTGCTCCTGATTCAGGCCATGGCCTTCGCAATTACTTGCTATGTGTCAGAAAGCTGGACAGTGACCACGGATGAAAGAAGGAGAATTGACATCTTTGAGCTGTGGTGCTGGAGAAGACTTTTTGAATATACCATAGATGGCTAGGAGAACAAATAGATTCATCCGAAAGAGGTTGAAACCAGGCTGCTCCTTGAAGGCAAGGATTCTGAAGCTGCTTCTGACATACTTTAGACGTCTTGCAAGGAGGAACCAGGCCTTGGAGAGGGACATCATGCTTGGGAGGGTGGAAGACAGAAGAGAGAGAGAGGAAGACAGAAGACCCTTGAGGAGATGGGTTGATTCAGTGACGGGGTAATAGGGGTAAGTGTGTCAGAGACAATAAGATTGGCACAGGATAGAGCAGGGTTTAGGGCTATTGTATATATAAGATTGCTATGAGTTGCAAGCAACAACATCAAGACAGTACAAAGCAGGCTATATTTTGCTTTTTTTTTTTTTTAGTTTTTTTTTTTAAAAAATTTCAGGTTTTTCAATTTTATTTGGTTTTTATATGTTTTGTTGTTTTTAAAGTTGATAACAGGTATTTTTCAGTATGTAAGTCAGTGAGACCCAATCATTCTCATAGATTTATAGCCTTTTCAGAAAAATGGAAAAAGATGGTTGTGTAAAAGAGTGCATTCCTAATAAAAAATTGGTCACATTTATTGAGTGCCGCGTAGGTTCTTGGGTGATTTGAATCCTCCAGCAGCTCTTCTGGAGAAAGATTGACAGTCTCCCCCCAGGCAATTTACAGCCTTGAAAACCCAGTACAGGATCAACTATGAGTTGGTCTGGACTCAATGGCAGTGAGGGACAACGAACACTATGCCAGTTACTTTACATTGCCATATCTGATTTGACATGCAGAACTACTTTGAAGGTTGCATGGCCCTCACTGTAGAGAGGAAATCAAGGCTTAGGTTAAAGAGCCTGTCACGTTCTTATGGCCAGTAAGTGGAAGGTCTGGAAGGGCTTTGAGCCAAGCAGCCTGGTTCTAAAACACTTTTAACCACTGGGCTTATATCTATGTGGGAGGGTCACAGTAAAAAAGTACCTAAATGCACAAGAAACTGGGTAAATGAAAGTATTTTCAGTAGAATTGTATACAGCATTGAAATGGAGGCCTAGGCATAAATAAAGACAGGAACCTGATGTTTTAAAATGGCAAAATTCATGGAGGATGACATCATTTTATTAAACGTGTGTGTGTTTGCACGCTTTGAGAATTTTTTTTTTTACTCTGGCAGCCCATGACAATGTACATTTTCTTTTCTGTTTATTCCAGAATTTAATGCATATAATATTGTTTAATACAAGAAATAACATGGGAAAGAAACAATAGAAAGATAACTCCATTTAGGATGGGGCTGCAGCCCCCAGGAACAGTCTTGAGTATGGCTGAGATCAGCTTCTTTCCTGCCAGTACTTCCTGGCTCCTCCTGACTCCCTCCCTCTCTTCCCTAGGATGCTGTGTGTGACTGCAGTGCCCAGTCTCTCACCTCCTGCTTTGCCCGGCCGTCCCGTTCTGCCATCCGCCACTCTCCTTCCAAATGCAGGCTACACCCTTCGGAGTCTGGCTGGAGTGGGGAGGAGAGGGCAGGCCCTCCCAGCGAGTGACAGAGCAGCTGAGTGCCCCGCCTCAACTAGCCAACCAGCCGGGTTGTGGCCAGCAGAAGGGAACCAGCAGAGATGAGGTGAGGGGCCCCCGTGCGCTCAGCTCTGCGTCACCTCACCTTGGCGGGATGACAGCTATACCACTGCCAGAAAACAGCTCTTACATCAAGGTAAAGCAGGGTCTCCTGGTGACCACTGGGTGGTGATCTTGGACTTCCTGGGGAAGGCAGCAAATGGGAGAAGACCAAAACTGGACTTTGGAAGCACTTCAGGAGAGATCAAGACCTGCTCTGTGGGTCCTAATAAACCAAGTCAGCCTTGCCTGGTTCTACCCCATGCCTTCTTGGAAGATCTGGGAAAGGGATACACTTCTGGCTCTGCCCCTTGGGTAAAAGGACTCACTGAGATGTTCCAGGACAACCACAGGCACCTTCCCTAGGAGGTGGACACTCTAATGAGGAGAACAGGCTTGTGCTCTAAGGTTCAGCTCCTGGCTCTTGGAGACGCTAGGTGCCACCCCCATTTCTTCCTTTCCTTCATCACCTCCTCCTCCCAACCCTGTTTCTCTAGATTGCTGTGACTCTAGGGGGTATGATAGGGCAATAACCAGGGCCAAGCATGTGCTTGGAATTCTGGAGCCCTGGATCTCCCTGCTCACAGCCTGGAAGCAGCAAGGACCAGGAGATGAGGTGGACATGTGTGGGGCTCAGGACCGGGAGCCATTGGAACTGCCACTCTTGCCATGGTGACTTGGGGAGCCCCATCATTCACAGGAGCCTCTCTGAGGACAGAAACTGGTTAGAGACAGTGTTAAGACCTGCTACACACATAAAGGCCTCAAAATCCACTGCCTTGACCCTGAGCTTCTTCACCAGCAGCCTGGAGGGTTATCACATCTCCATTGTGTTTACATTCTGGGACTGGTGGAAGACAGAGCTATTCCCTCTATGAGACTTCTTATTGGCCAGACCAGGCCAAGGAAAACTCCACAAGGTCAGTGCCCCGGCACACACACAGCAGTAGACTGGGGCTTGGAAATGGGTTTCTCGCCTAGATTGTTTATTTGCATTTTTTTTTCTTATTATAAATATTTAAGGTGGTTTACTTTATTTTAATAATTTAATTTACCCCAAAGCCCCTCAGTAATTTATTGGAGATTGACGTGTATTCTTGCCACTGGGACAAAGTGAGATTTCTAACATGCTGGACTGGCTTGGGATCCCCAACAGGGACAAGGCAGCTCACAAGTTGAGCTCAGGTCTCCTAGCTTGGGTTTGCAGGGACCCTGCAACCTGCTCCCCAACATCGCTGACCATTTAACCTCAGAGAACACCTGGTACTTGCCTGACCTGGTACCTTGCTCTTCTCAAGGTAAAGGGCTGGATTGAGACAGTGCCACTGAATTGATGTTGACTCTGTGACCCTATAGGACAGAGTAGATTTGCCCTGTATTGTTTCTAAGGCTGTAATATTTATGGAAACAAACTGCCACAACTTTGTTCCATGGGGTGGCTGGACTGACTTATCATCTCCCAAACCCTCATGTCTCATTTTCTCCCTCCCTCTGATACCTTTTAAATGAGTCAATCATGGCTTACTGAGGCTCTGTGCCAAGAGCTTTGAGCTCTCTCCGACTTCCTCTAAGGAGCACTTGCAGGAAAAACAGGACTAAACTTTCAAAACCATTCATGGCAGCTTTCTGCATTGACTGGAGAGTATGCACTGCCTCGGTTCCCACCAGCCTGCCGGCCTTCCCGCCAGGTTCTCTGCTTAGCCTTATGCCTTGTATGGCTTTTCTCCCAGCCCCAACTTCCTCGCCTACCATGTGAGCTGCCTGAGTGAGTAGATGGATTATGACCTGAGTAATTGTGATACGGCCTCCCACGGCTGTTGCTCGCTGCCAGTAGACCCGTTTGGTTGCATGTGCCTGCATACAGAGTGGAAACACCAGGATGAAAGAGCTTGTCTACAGAAGACATCAGAAAGACCCAAGATGCAGCTTTTCTGTCTTCCTCCCAGGACTCACAAGACACCTCTGCTCTCTCAGATCCTACCTGCCATCTCTTAGTCCTGCCCTCTCAGGGTCATTTGGACCAGCTATCCAAAGCCCTTCTTCTTCTATCCCAGCAGCAGGACACCAGAGTCATGCCTGCCTCACCAGCTGCACCTGTGTGCCATAGCGACTTACCTTGGCCAATGGAGCCAGAGGCCAGTTCCTGGAGGATGCCGCTGCTCACCACCCAGTGAGGCCAGGCAGACCCTTCCAGGGTTTTCTCCAGATGAGGGATTCATAGTAGGCCCCAAGTCACCAGAGGCCTTCTGCCACCTCCCTGCAGAGGACCAGGGAGGCTGCTCTTCCAGCCTTGGGGAGAAATCCCCATAAGACCTGAACCCTGCGGCCTGTAGACCGCTCAGCCTTACCATCGTCTTGTCCACGATCTTTGCCATCTTTGTTGTCCCAGCAGCTGGGCCTGGCTCCCAACCAGAGCCAGAGGCTCCAGAGCTCAGTGTTCCCAAGCCCTGGTTTCCAGTTCCTGCATGCCACTTTTGCAAGGTCACGTGCATCACCGTTCTCCCAGAAGCCTCTGGACATGGGGCTTCCATCTGGTTGAAAATGTTACATGTAAATATTTGGTTTGGTTTGATTTTTAGCATTTTAATTGGTAACTGTGTTTCTTTTTTTATGGGGTGGGGGGATTGGTTTGTAAAAAAATGCTCTACTTCTTTGGAATGATATTTCTAAGTTTGGTTTGTTTCTTCAAATGCCTTTTAAGTCTTGGTAACATTCCCAAAGCAGAAGACTGCCTGACCCACAGTGGGGATTTGCCTGGAGGTTTAGGGTCCCAGGAAGGAATGCTGGCTGTCCCCTTTCTCTCCTTTCCTACTACTTTTCTGCCTTTTTACTCCTAACCTTCTTTTCTGTCCCTCTTCCTTCTCATCCATCCCATCCCCACTCTCAGCCAAAGTCCCGAGGAACTCTGGATTAGCATCGACTTGGTTTGAGTCTGTGGCTTGGCACGATTTCATTGAGAATGAGGGCCAAGTGGAAGGGCCAAATCTGGGTAACCTCCTATTTCTTATGTCTGGCATTTTCCCAGAGTCAATTTGACACTTCTAGGAGAAAGAGTATCTGCGTTTGAAATGGAAATCAAACCACCTTCGTTCATCAGTGGATCCCAGGCCGCCTATGTATAAGCAGCAGAGCCTAATTCCCTTTCTACCTGCCAACCCTTTCCCATAGCTCTTCTTCCACAGACGCTGACATTTAAAACACCTTTAAGAAGTTCTTGCTGCCTGTGAACTTTGAAAGGTCTCCCCAGAAATACTAGCTGCCCCCCCCAGGTGCCATCCTCTGTTGACAAAACTAGGAACCCCCAGACTTGACCCTCTTCCACACTGACCCCTAGCGTCACTCCATCAGGCCCACAACTATGGACCTTTCATGTTTTTAACACCAGACGTGTTTTCCTCTGGTTTGCACACCCAGCTTCCAGGCTGTTCCTCTCTCTCCTTTCCCATGCAAAGTGCCCCTCTTCTTCCACTCTGACCAGTGTCCCAGCCGTCTCAGTTCCCACTACCTCTTTCTCCATCAATAATAACAATATAATCCCCTGCACATCCCGCCTAGAGCACTTTACTGTTTAGAAGTCCCTTCCCACATCTCCTTCAGACCTTTCAGGCACAACTCTGGAAGCAGCCTTGGAAGGATAGGGGTTAGTGTTCCCATTTTAAAGATGAGGAAACTGAGGCACAAGTGTCATCCCAGAGTCAACCAACTGGAAACTCAATGAGTATTAGACTACAACCTTGGCTCACCAGACCACCCAATTCAGCTCTGTCTTTGCTTTGCAAACTCACTGCCCATACTTCTCCAACCAGAGGGTTTGTTTCATGACCACCAAAACCCCAAAATATGCCACTGCCCAGCCTAGACATGAAACATGTCCACTCTGGATCCTTGGACCTGCATGTCCCAGAGGCTGTCCCCTTGCATCAGAATCTGCTGTGGGCTTGTCAAACATGCAGATTCCTGGTCTCTGCTCTAGACTTTAGCGCCAGGAATCTGCACATTGCACAGCTCCCAGGGGAAAGCTTTGTGTTCATATCATCTTTCTTTTCATCAATAATTAGAACATCAAAAAAGTAAGACTTGCTGTTCCCTAAAACGACCTTGTATTAGTCCCACAGTCATGCTATTAAATTTTATTCTTGAGTTTCCTTGGCAGCCATAGTAAAAAGAGAAGTGCATCAGTTTGCATAACTTACCATTGTCCGATCATGAGACTCAAGCGTGTTTGTCTCAGGGCACAATCCCTGTGACCGATTTGTAGCATGTGTCTAAGGCACTGAGCCAGCTGCTGTTTCAGTCGGTGAACCCTAATTTTTTTTCCAGGTGACAGTTTCAGGGGAAAAAAAATTAACTGCCAGCAACTGAATGACCATGACCAGGTAATGTGACTGTCCCAGGCTTCGGTTTCCCCAGCTATAATGTGGGGATGATGCCCTTCCTACCTCACGTGGCTTTGGTCAGGACCAAATAGAATCCTGTGCCTGTAGGTTTGCTTGGGAAAGATAAGGTTTTGCATAAATGCTAATGAATCTGAGCTAGGCCAGCACCTCAGTGTCCTTACCTCTGGGGTGACACCAACACCACCCCTCTCACTGAGTCTTCATGAGTAGAAAGGGGTCACACGACCATCTGGACCAACCCAGCCCGACGTTGAGGAATCAGAGAAGGGAGCTGCTCACTCCAAGCCACGCAGCAAACCAGTGACAGGGCCAGGACCACGACCCAGGTGTCCTGACTCTGAGCAGCTTCTGTATCTCCCGTGGTGAAGGAGTCCCTGCCTTACCTTTCTGTCGTCTTGTATGTGTGGTCTTGTATGAGTTTTTTACTTTCTGTGGACTTAATCTGTACTCCCCACTCCTGTGCTTGAATCAACTTTTCTCAGAGCTCCGTTCCTCTTGTCTGCTTTTCTGGCTGGTTCCTGTCAACAGACCAA